GTAGACAGCTTGACCCAGAAAGTTTAGGATGTGCAAGGAACTGCTAGGTGTCTGGCACCAACTGAAAACAGCAGGATTCTGACTTGTTAAGGCCCCAGGGTGGGAGAGAGGGGAAGACACAAACCATTATTATCCAAGGAACAGGCACCTGGCTGAGGCCTCTTCTGAGAACTGAAGAGAACAGGCAGGAGAGGGCTGTGGGCCGGCCAGTGTGTGAGCATGTGAGATGGAACTTTCTCCCTTGTCCCCTGCGGCACCAAGCAAGACCATAAGCTTCTTTCATGGAGGAGAACCACGATCATTCTGCCTTTCTCCCCATGATATCTCACCCAAAATGAGCTTCATGGAAAATAGAAGCAATAAAGAGAAAACCCTCCTAACATGGTTATCAAAATCCAACTACATGCTGGATACACATTGGATACCAATGTCCTGCTAGGTACCAGGAACCTTACAAAGTCCTTATTTTCATTGTTAGGGTATTCAATGGTTGGGGGTTTTGTTTGTTTGGGGGGGGGGGGGTCACTCGATGTAGTTCTCAGGCGCCACAGCCAGTTCTGCTCAGAGGCCACACCTGGTGGTGCCAAAGGACCATACATAAGCAGTGCCAGGATTCAAATGAGGGTGGCAGCTGTTGTTGCATGCTAAGCAAGTGCCTTAACCTTTGCACAACCTCTCTGGCCCTTTCCATGTTGTCATTACTTTAAAAGAGCATCATATATACACAACAGGATGCTTTGCCACTGTAACAAAAAATAAAACCATTATGTTTGGTACAAAGGTAAAGGCTGGAGCGATAGCACAGTGGGTAGGGCGTTTGCCTTACAAGCGGCCAACATGGCCGACCCGAGTTCGATTCCTCCGCCCCTCTCGGAGAGCCCGGCAAGCTACCGAGAGTATTCGATATGCCAGACACAGTAACAACGAAGTCTCCAATGGAGACGTTACTGGGCCCGCTCGAGCAAATCGACGATCAACGGGAGGGCCTTTACCTTTACCTTTACCTATGTTTGGTACAATGTGGATGGAAAAGTCAGAGGGGAAAGGACAAATCCCAAATGATCTCACTCACATGTGGGATATACAGACACACAAAATAAGGGAAAGGCCATTTCCAACACTGACAAACCCTTGGCCTTGATTACAAAAATAATTAACAAGCATTGCAGGGAGTGATGAGAGAATGAAGATCAGACCAGAGGTGACATCGGGACAAAGGCGAAGGGTGACAACACCTTGGTCGCACAGTGGGGCGGGGGGGGGGGGGGGGGTGACTTTCTACATAATGCCATAAACTTTAACACCATCATAGCCACGTTACCTAAGCTATAATAAAAGTCATTCTAAGAACTTGTATTAAGCATAGAATTTTATTTTAAAGTCATCAAAGAGATAAGTATTTCTATGCTGTATTATATTATTAAATACATCCTAAAATGTAAGAAACTTTGCATTTGCTGTGTAACTCTGCTGTGGAAAATGAGTGAGGTGTTCCTGCACAGTGAAAACAACATATCAACACATGTTTTTCATGGTTCAAACTCTGGACTTAACTGACCCCTTGTACAAAGACAGAGAGAGGGAGGGGGAAAGAGAGAGAGAGAGAGAATTTGACGCAGTAATTAAATTTTTCAGGGAAGGCTTTTCAACTTGCGTCCTGCTTAAAACAAGTAATAACGATATAAAGAAACGTAGTAAGGGGATAATAAATGGCCCAAATGCAATGAAGACTGAGAACTGGTTTACAGAACTGAGCTGAGCACAGCAGGAAGGGTTGGAGAGGAAGCACAGAATACTGAGAAAATGGTGGCGGGAAATGGACCCTCTGGTGGAGGATATAGTGCCAAAATTATATAGATATAAAACTCTATCATTAACAGTACTGTCAATCAGATGTCGCAAATAAATATTTTTTTAAAAAAAGCTATACCACTACAGGACCAGAAGTTAAAGTAATATATCAGTAAAAATACCTAGGGGCTGGAGTGATAGCACAGGGGATAGGGCATTTGCCTTGCACGCAGCTGACTGGGGTTCGATTTCCAGCATCACATATGGTCCCCTGAGCACCGCCAGGAGTAATTCCTGAGTGCAGAGCCAGGAGTAACCCCTGTGCATCACAGGGTGTGACCCAAAAAGAAAGAAAAAAAACTGCATCTAGAATTCCCTTTGAAGATTCCAAGGAACCTTAAAACCTCCCTTTCTGCCAATGAAACTAGGGGCTTCATATGCTCCAAACAGGCCAGAATTGTGGTTCTGGTGGAAAAAAGGTGCCTGAGCACAGAGCCAAGAATAGCCCCCAAGCACTGCTGGGTGTTGTCCAAAAATAAACAGAAAAAAATGTACTGGCTGGAGAGTTAGTACAGAGGTTAAGGTTCTTATCTTGCACAGAGGCCGCCTGGTTTGGTCCCTGGCACCACATATGGTCTCAGGAGTTGATCCCTGAGCACAGATTCAGATTGAGCCCTAAGCAACACTGGGGTGTGGCAAAAAAAAAGCATAAAGATATGCATGCACAAATTGGAAGTCTGGTGTGGCCTGCACAAAAACTTCAAATAAAGAAAAAAAAATAAAGTGTCTGCCCCCAAATGCAAGACAATTAGAAAATTAGTATTCCTGTGGAGGGCAGTCTTTTTATAAAATAATTACTATACTCAAAACCTGTATTGCACAACCATTACACTTTGCCAGGGGCATGCAACATCTTCCCCAATGACACTGGAATCAAGGGGAATGGGAGACATCACGGGACTCGAGGACACACTCCAAGGACCCAAGTTCAATCCCCAGCACTGTGTGGGTCCCCTGAGTTGCCCCAGCCTGTCAGCCCTGGCAACCCCCATTATTAAGTAGTGAGGCATCACTGGGCAGGAGCCTTGAACTGCTGGGCCCAACTAACCCAGTATTTTTGGAGCTGGTTCTGGGACCACCTGAGTACTGTGTGGTTGTAGCGGCTCCCTCCTAAAAAAAATAGTTGCTGGAATCCAGAGTAAATTGATATTCATATATTTTAGGGATTCCCACATCTCAAATGCTATTGTAGAAGTTCAGGCTCAGTTACCAGCTTCATACAAGGTAGCCCTGGCTGCACATGCTTCCGGCAAAAGTATATCCAGAACAAATGTGCCGCTTGTCCTAGGTCACTGCTTTCGAGATATTACCAAGGGGGTCACTGGTGTAGTTGTAACCGAAGCACAACTTGAAAGAAGCTTATCTTTGCCTACTTTAAGCTATAAATGGTATCACATTCACAAAGAATATATTAACATGCATTACATTTTTTTAAATGCAAACTAGAATACTGATCTTTTTTTTATCTTCAAATGTCTGGGATTAGCAACTCTTTCCACAAATTATTTGCATCATGATGAAATCTCACATACTTCAAACACTCAACTGTCTGTTCTTTCCTCCACCCCAGGGAGTGAGAGGGGGACCCTCCCAGAAATTCTCAGTTGGACCTGAGGACACAGTGTTTAGGGGTCTCCAGTGCCACCCCTAGCAATGTTCGGGGGACCAGGCAGTGCCTGATCATATGAGGCTCAGCCACATGTAAGGAATGTGTCCAATAAACATAAACCCTGTACCATTTCTCTGGCCCTTTATCTGCAGTTCTTTTTTCTTGGGGGCATAAACATAATGTCAGAGGAAATGAGGAGAGTGGTGGAAGTTTTTCTGGGGAAATTCCCAATAAAAAAGAAAAAAAAATTTTTTTCCTGAAAGCCATTTGTCCCCACAGAAAGCTCATGACTTTACATGGGCCATAATGGAAAGAGGGAACATCTGAACTTGCAGACAGCCTCAGTCTGGCTATAGATTTCCCCGTCTCGCTTGGACACGCAAGGTGGTTGGGTAAGCTCTGATTTTCATCTGTCATTTTCATCCATCAACAAAGAAATCCCAACCTACCAAAGAGCAAAATGCTCTGCCGGGGGTTCAGAAACTATGTGAAATAGTTGTGCTCTTAATTTGTTTGTCTTCAATATTCAAACAAGTTTTTTGTTGCCTATGATCAAGCGAATATTCATGCAAGGTTTTTTTTAAAAAAAAAAAAAACAGGGGGTCAAGAATAGCCGAGATCAGTACCAGGAAGATTACTCCACAGCTTAGAGGCCAGCCGGGCATTCTAGGAGAAAGGGCAGCTCAGACTGAGAAGGGAGCACCAAATAAAGGGTGTTTGGAGGATCCTTCCAGGAGGGGAGATGCATGTTGAAAGTAGACTATGGACTGAACATGACTGCCACTCAATGCCTCTTCTGCAGACCACAACACCCAAAAGGAGAGAGAGAACAAAAGGGAATGCCCTGCCACAGAGGCAGGGTGGGATGGGGGGGGATGGGTGTGAGAGGGATACTGGGATACATGGTGGTGGAAAATGGGCACTGGTGAGGGATGGGTATTTGATCATTGTATAATCAAAACCCAAGCACAAAAATTTGTAAATCTACAACTATATCTCATGGTGTTTCACTAATAAAAAAAAAAGGAAAAAAAACGGGGTCAGAGTGATAGTACAGTATATAAGTTGCTTCCTTGCATGCGGCCGACCCACACTGAATCCCCTGCACCATTATATTATTTCCCCAAGCAGCACCAGCAGTGATCCCAGAGCCAGAAGTAAGCCCTGAGCACCACTGGCTCTGACCCAAATCTCCACAAAAATGTGTTTTCTTGGTATCACAAAAAGCCCAGTGGGCTCTTCTGAAAACCTGGGGCACAGATGGGGTGACGCCAGACACATATCAGAAGCAAATCAAAGCAGGGGATTTTTTGGTATATAACTTGGTATATAGCTATACTCAGAAAATCAGAATATGTCATGTCTAAAGTGTCTAAGTACTCTTTGGTTCTGATAATTCCTTAAAACACAAAATTTCCTCTTTCTAGCCATTGGAAAACTCATCTCTTAGGATTAGGATACTCTCCCGGTCTTGAGACATGCCCTAAGAAACAAAGATCAAAGTTATTTAATTGAAACTTCAAGATATGATTCGCTTTACCTCTGAATTAACAACTTCCATTGGTTTTTTCTTGATTTCTCCTATGTCCAAGTAGCTGGAGTGGAAGGGGAAAAAAAGAGAAAGATTTCATTTTTAGCTTGAGTAGTTATATCATTTTTTAATTATTAAAAAGATTACAATAAGCCATAGGCGATACTTAAGCCCAAATCAAAAATTAATAGCTGCTAATTAAAAGCAATAGTAAAAAGAAAAATTAATTTCACCCTTACCAACCAGTGCTGACACATGTTTATCCAAATTTCAATGAAACTTAAAGTCTCAGAAATAAATATTTCTACTTGGGAACAATTTTTTTCCAGCAACAATTACTACTTACTGCATATGATTCTTCTACTTCTTCTATTCATTTTGATATAAAGTGGCTTATGTGTAAATCTGCTGAGCAGGTCAATGGATCACAGGTTTAAGTCAAAGCTCTGGTGGTGTGCGCTGGAATAATACTGTGAAAGACTGGAAAATCTATTTCCCTGTCTAAGCACTTGAATGACACAAAAATGCTCAGCCATGTGAGATGGCTAAGTTACTGGTTCACCTAAGAGGAAGATGGATGGATGAGTTAAACCCTGGAGAGCCCTATTGGCCCATTACTATATATTACAGATATTAACTAGTGATCATTGTTCAATTCTAGCATGAGCACAACCTAAAACTTTGTTTTTTTGTCAACTTCAAGCAGTTAAGTTCATCATTGTGCTCAGGGCCCATTGTGCTTCATACACAGAAGGTGCTGAATAAACATTTTAACAGCACTTCACTTATAATCACAGTCTCTCTGACTAAACTGTCATAATTAAGCATGCAAAGATATTTATGTTAGAATTAATTTGGACCACTGAAATGTGTTCTATTGTCATCAGTTTGAGGCAGATTTTTTTTTTATTTTTTGCTTTTTGGGGGTCACACCCAGTGATGTTCAGGGGTTACTCCTGGATCTTCACTCAGGAATTTCTCCTGGTGGTGCTGGGGGACCATATGGGATGCTGGGGATCGAACCCGGGTCAGCTGCGTGCAAGGCAAATGCCCTACCTGCTGTGCTATTACTCCGGCCCCAAGGCAGATTTTTTAATAGAATATTTTACTTAATTGATGTAATTGGAAATGATCATGTGTGCACTATAACAGTATTTGTAAAAGAATACAAATAATCTTTTTTTACAATAAAATGGATCTTTTGCAAATCTGCAGGGACTGTTTGCTGGCATTCTACCAAAAAATTCTGGTGTGTACCAGATTCCTAAGGTTAATATAGTAGACAAAACTACATATGGAAAATTGGGAAGGGGGGAATAACAATCTCTAGAATTCTCTTTTACAAAATAAAGTTTTAACAGCCACCTTAATTTTAATTATTGATTAATAATATTAATTAATTGTGGTTTCAAAATTATTAGGAAAAATCTGAGCAACAGAGAGTCTAACAGGATGTCGATTGTTTTCATTTGGAAATAGTTTTTTCGCTACTAATATCTTTCCCAACGATATTTATACATGTAGGACCCTCAATACCTTTTGTTTTGTCAGTTGCTTCATTTGTTATATGTATATACAACTGCTAAACTTCAAAGTCAGTACTAAAAATGTTCAATTCTATCATTCTCGCCATAAGACAATTTAAGCATAGATCCTATTACTTTGTCACAAACTATTCACCAGTCAGTATGAAAAATTAACCATGTACACTGTTATAAAAAGTTTGAGGGCTGGCTTTGTGTGTATGTGTGTGTGTTAATTAAAAGCAAAGCTAATTATGCAAATCTAATGTGTATTTTTTTATAAATTTATTTATTTAGACACCATTACTTTTTTTTATTTTTGGGTCACACCCAGCGATGCTCAGGGGTTACTCCTGGCTCATGCACTCAGGATTCACTCCTGGTGGTGCTCAAGGGACCATATGGGATGCTGGGAATCGAACCTGTGTCGGCCATGTTGGCTACGTGCAAGGCAAACGCCCTACCTGCTGTGCTATCGCTCCAGCCCCTAATGTGTATTTTTTAGCACTTTGAAGTGAACTTTTTATTGGTCTGGAACTATACTTATATTCTCTCTGGAGTTACTTGAACCAAATAAACAAAGACCATATCAATTACTAAAGTGAATCTATAATTTTGAGCTGTTAAAATATTCTGAGGCAAGAATCCATTCCTGAGAAATGGCTTTATATGTAAATTATTTAATAAAGAGTAAAGTCTCTGATTAAAGGAAGTCAATGTGGAATGTTTTACACATCTTAAAAAAATACCTTTGCTGTAAAGAAGGATCTCTCTCATATATGGAATATAAAGAAGTATAGTAAGGGAATAATATATGGCCAAAAGCAACTGATTCTAAGAATCAGAGTTTACCACCGCAGTGAGATGGTGCGGGGAGGAGGGCAGGGAGGTGAGGAGGGAATCCTGAGACAATGACAGAGGTCATCACACTCTCTGTGTGAGTTGTGGTGTTGGAATGCTGAATGCATGGAACCCTATCACTGACAATATTGTAACACTGTAAATCATGACAACTAAAAGAGGTTTTTTTTTTTTTGCTTTTTGGGTCACACCTGGCAATGCACAGGGTTACTCCTGGCTCTGCACTCAGGAGTTACTCCTGGTGGTGCTCAGGGGACCATATGGGATGCTGGGAATCGAACCCGGGTCGGCCACGTGCAAGGCAAACACCCTACCCACTGTGCTATCTCTCCAGCCCCCTAAAAGAGTTTTTTAAACCCCTTTTGGTGCTTACAAATCCACTAATTTACAAAGTATTTACTTTTTACAACAATCCTATGAGAGAAAAGTGGAAAAATGTTCCAATTCTTTACTAGGACCGAGCCAAGTGGCCTCATTAAGGATATAGAGTTAGCAAACTCCATCTCAGGCCTCCTGGTTTTCAGTTTTCATTTTTAAGTTTATGTAAATCACACATTTTCATTTAGTTCATCTCCTACAAAGTTGGACAAGCATAATAAAAATGGTTTCAAGTCTCCAAGTGCATCCCTAAGAATTGCCCCATGAAAAAGAATATCTAGTACAACTAAAGGTAGAGCACCTAAAATGCCCATAAAGTTAAGCAAAGAGAGATGCTATGAATAACTTTAGTGGTATTTGAGAAGGTACCTGTGTACAATTAAAATCAAAATTCACAAGCACCAATTTTATCATACTGATATTTTTGCTAGCCAAAGTTCTAAGCTGAGTCTTTGATTAGATATTGTATTAAAAACTATGAGATACAATCACCACACAATCAGAAATTCCACTGCAGATACAGACATGGGATAAATGAAAATGTGTCCACGACACATAGCATTACTCTACATAATGGAACATACATGAACTGATAAAAGGATAAACAAAATGTAGCATGTGTATCCCTCAGAATATTATTCAAGAATAAAAAGGATGCATGTATTCATTTAATCTGCCACCAAGATGAGCCTTGAAAACACAAGCAAAGTGGAAAAAAAGCAAGAAACACACACACAAATAAAACATATGGTACATGATTCCATTTCTATGAAACGTTCAGAACACATAAATCTATTGAGACTGGGGGTAAATTAGTGGATATGAGAAAACAAATGAGAAATTGGAGGTTTCTTTGGAGACTGGTAGAAATGACTAGTCTAAAAATGATTGCGCAGTTCTACAAATACACTCAAATAAAACCTTGAAATGCATGGTTTGGATATGTGAACCATCTCCACAAACCTGTTAAAAAGAGAACCTCTAAAATATTCGATTCTGCCTGTCCTATATTAACTGCCTGCCTCGGAAATTACTCCACACAGCTTCAACTTTTTTTTTCCAAGTGGATTTGTATTTCTCTTAATTGCTTTATATTTTGCATTAATATTATTCACATGCATAGCATGGTAGCTCCTATTGGACGGTAAAGAAAGTCAAAAAGGCCTGGTCTCATTCATCGTTGTTCCCCTCTCAGATCTAAACAGTGTTTGCTAGTTCACTGAACACCTACTATGAGTTCCGTGCTAGCACTGGGGCATAAACCCCAAGACCCAGATCTTGGAAGGGTCTAATTATAAGGTGATTGGAGACAAACAGGAAAATACAGTAAAAGCAATTTTTTCCAGCGCAATGCCAATAACACTAATATCCAGAAGATGGGAGGTGGGAGGATTCTCTTTGTAATGACAGGTTGAAAGAATTTAAGGGGAGGTGGAGGAGGAATCAATCTTCTCTGGTGAATATACAGTATGAAAATTCAATACTTCTGTATAGTTCTTAAGAAATCTTTCTTTAGAGACCAGAAAATTCATTCCAAGGGCTCCTCCCTGGAGAGAGAAGATTCCCTAGGCCCAGAGTTGGGAGGACCACCACCACCAGCAGCAACCGGGGTGGTGCCCCCCAAAGATCAATCAACCAATAAAAAAATATTTATTTGATCCAATAAAACAGTTTCCAAGCAAACAGTGGGCAAAGAAGGGCGAGGAAAAGAGGAAAAGTGTACAGAAAAAAGTTAAAAGCGGGGGTTAACTGAATTCCTTTGTGAAAGATTCCCGAACTTGATTAAAGTTTTCTGTTTTATAAAGGGGCTTTCCAGGCTGGGACCCCATCTGCCAGGAGGCCTCTGGCTGGCACCCCGCCTGTTCCGGACCCCCCAGGAAGCCACAGCTGGGGACCGCAGGACTCACTTGAGTTTCTTGAACGCCTCTTGGCCCCCGGCCACGTAGTTGCCCCCGCTCTGGATCTGGTCGAGCTTGCGGATGCGGTGGCCGGTGCGCGGGGTGTAGATGTTTCGCACGGCTCCGAAGGGCGCCTGCACGCCGCCCGTCACCTCCTTCAGGAACACGTCGAAGCTGGTCACCTTCTTCTCATGGAACACGACGCGGCGGCCCGCGAAGAAAGGGTCCCCGTTGCGGTACACCAGCACGCTCTTGACGACGGGCTGGGACAGGTGGCTGGACTTGGCGCTGGCGCCGCTCATCTTCCCCGCGGGACGCCGCGCGGGCTCGGTGCCCCGGCCGCCTGCTGGCCGCCTGGAATGAATGGGACACACAGACCCGCCGGGAGCACCACGCGGTGCGGGGTACCGGGAGTCCGGGTTCGAGCGTCACCGCGGCCGGCACAGCCAATCAGCGCCCGCGGGGCGCGCACCCACCGGGTCCCACGCTGTCTGCCCCCGGGCCACTGCAACCTTCCGGGCTTGGGACAAGGATGAACCGGGGAGGGAACGTGGGAGAGACAGGACGCACACAGACGCGCGCGCATACACACACGCACACGGGCGCGCCGCACACGGGCACATACAGGCGCGCGCACATGCACACACGCACACAGGCGCACACGGACGCACACGCGCACACATGCACATACACACACACAAGCATACAGGCGCACCGTACACGGGTGAACACACATGCACGCGCACACAGGCGCACATATACACACATATGCACAGGCGCACACGCACGCAGAAGCACACGCGCGCACCGGTGCGCGCACGCGCGTGCACACACGCAGGCGAATTCGAAACACTACGACTCCGGTACCAACATCCTCCACGCTCTCTGCAAACAGCCAGTCTTGCCTCCCCTTGCTCCTCCGCCTCTCCACCTCCTCTCTGCACCCACAATAATTCTGGCCAAAAAAAAAAAAACTAAAAGCGAAAAGCGCATTGAGAGAAAGACGGGGGCGGGGAGGGTGGGGGGACCGCCGCCCCCTGCCCAGGAGATCAGTGCCGCAGAGCTGGCCATGGTTGGGCATGTCTGAGCGCAGAGGGCAGCGGCGCGCAGCCGAGTGCCCGGTGGGGGCGGAGGGCGCGGGTGGGACCCCCGGGAGCTCGGGTCGCAGGGGTCCCCACCGACCTACCTAACTGGCACTCGAGGGCCGCGGGGGGCGGAGCGGGCGAGGCGGCCGGCGGCTGGGTTGGCAGCTGGCACCGCGGTGAACTCGCTCCGCTGTTCTCCCGCTGCCGTTGCCTCAGCGGGCCTCCCTCACCCCCGGGAACGGAGTTGTTATTTCCCGCCGTTTCCATAGCAACTGCAGCCACGCGCGGGCCGCCGAGTCTGGGAACCGGGTCTGGCGCGCCCCTGGGTCCCTTTGGGTCATGCCCGCCGCCGGGGACAGATGCTGAAAAGAAATCTGGGGATTGGGGACTAGGGTGGGTGCTGAAGGGAAAGCCTAATGGCATGCCTGCGGCTTACTCGTGGCTCGGTGCTCAGGGATGAGCATGTGTGGTGCCAGAGACAGACTCAGCAAGAGCAGTGTCCGCTGTGCTATCGCTCTGCTCCAAACACTTACAAATTTTTTTAAAAAGGAAAATAATTTCCAACTGAATGCAATACAGTTACAAAGTTTTCCATGATTGGTTTGTTTTCAACCACCATACAATGTTCCAACACCGGTCCCTTCACCAGTGTAATTTCCCACCATCAATGTCCCCAGTTTCCCTTCAGTCTCTATGACAGGCGCCCGTGCTCTCTCATCTCTTTTTCTCTCTCTCTCTCTCTCTCTCTCTCTCTCTCTCTCTCTCTCTCTCTCTCGCTCTCTCGCTCTCTCGCTCTCACTCTCTGCATTATGGTTTGCATACACATACTGGAAAGTTATCATGTCTATCCCTTTATCTCCTTTCAGCACTCACTTCTTGTCTGGAGTGATATTCCCAACTATCATTGTCATAGTGGTCCCTTCCCTGTCCTGACAGCCCTCCCCCACCCCCAACTTGTAGCAAGCTTCTTACCATGGGCCAGTGCTCCTGGCCCTCGTTTCTGCTCTTTTTGAATAAACCTACAATTTTTTTTGTAGGAGTACTGCTATTTATTCAGCCATTGATTAGCTGATTGAATTGGGCATGAACTCCACCTTATTTTTTTTTTATTTTTACATTTATTTACTGAATCACTGTGGCAAAAGTTACTAAACTTTCATGTTTAAGTCTCGGTCATACAATGATCAAACACCTTTCCCTTCACCAGTACTCATTCTTCACCACCAAAAACCCCAGTATACCCCCCCTCCCATCCTTCCAAATGCCTGTGAGGCAGATGATTTCTACTTAACTCTTCTCTGCATTGATTACATTCATAATTTCAACAAAAGATGCACCATTATTGTTTAGAATTTCCCCCAAAATAATCAGAATTGCTGAAAAGGCATTGTGAGATATTTTGTTTTCTATAGCTGGTTATGAGAATCATATAATGTCACGTGGCCTCGATATTGGATTTCTGCAAAGAGCCAGATAATTACGAGATTGTAAACCTACAATTTTTAAAGAACCAATCATGAGACCAGCTTGAAGCTGAGAGAAGAGTCTTTCAGGGTCTCAAGAAGGGTAAATGGGGACATTTAGATTTTCTGTGATCAAACGCTCAATTCATACTACTTATGTTCATTGGAAAAGGAATGAGAGAGAGAGACAGAGAGAGAGAGAGAGAGAGAGTCAATTTACCTGTTGAACCAACTTTTGTTGTGTTGAACTCCTCTAAAGTTTACTCTTGTTTTCATTTATTTCTTTTGGGGGGGGGGCGAGGGGGCACATCCACCTGGGAATTCTCAGGGCTTACTCCTGGCTCTGTGTTCAAGAATTACACCTGATGGGGATCTGGGGACCATATGAGTTGCCATGGATGGAACTGGGGTCCAGCCATGCATGCAAAGCAAGAGCCTTGCCCTCTGCACTACCTCTCCAGGCAATATTCTTTCTTTTGTCATTTATTTCTTCTTCTTTCATGGGGCAGGGGACTATAGCTCAGTGGTAAAACCCACCTGAGTGTATGAGCCTGAGTTTGAGCCCCAATACCATTCCACATCATTGAGTGTATTCCCTGGGGCCACAACGATTGCATGCTCTGGAGGACCAGAGCCAATATGATGGTTATCAACCCATGTCACCCCAAGGTATAAAAACAAGAAAGAAGAAAGGGGGGAACTACTTTTCCTCCCATTCTTTGAGTTTCTTTCGCTATTGGATACACAACTTCTTTAGATAAATTTTTAAGCTTTCCTTTATCTCTGATCAGAGGCCAAGGTCTTCTTATTGTTCAATACTGTATATTCTTTTCTCTACATATCACATGTATTAAGACCATCCAATATTAATCCTCCTCCCTAAGTTACTTTGCTTAACATAATACTCTCCACTTCCACCCAAGTTGTAGCAAAGCACACGATTTCATCTTTTCCTACAGCTGCATAGGACCCTGTTGTGTGTATATATCACACTTTATCCATTCATGTGCCTTTGGACATTTGGGTTGTTTCCATATCCTGTCTATTGTGCTAAGTGCTTAGAAAGACATCTGAACAAGCATTTAACAAAGGAAGAAGCCTAAGTGACCAACAAGCAAATGAAATGAGTGATATTTGGTATCATAAAGTCAGAGAAAATCAAACTAAAATCGCTCAGATTTTTCCACCAAACTGGCAAAAATTAAGGTAGGACAAACTTTAGCTAGGTCATAAAGGATGAAGAGCTGCAGGGTCACATGCGCCACTGTTGAGACTATGGACTAGCCCAACCGCTATGGAAATCAGCTGCATTTTCTATAAATAACTAATAAATCATGGTTTCAGGATCCAAAGTTATATAAAGAAAATATAAGAGGTATAAAGAAAGAGGATAAAATGGCAATTAGGATGACGATGACAATAATAGTTAGAAATAATCACTCTGGACAAGAATTGAGTATTGAAAGTAGGTAAAGGGATATACATATATGTATATATATATATATGATAACATTTCTGTGTCTATATTGCAAAGCACAAGGCCTAAAGAGAGAGGGGGGGGTACCTGCCGTTGAGCTAGGTGGATGGTAGGAGGGTGAGGGGAGACTGGGGTCATTGGTGGTGGGAAACATATGTACACTGGTGAAGGAATGGGTTTTGGAACATTATATGACTAAGATCCAATCATGAACAACTTTAGAAAGAAAGAAAGAAAGAAAGAAAGAAAGAAAGAAAGGAAGGAAGGAAGAGAAAGAGGGAAGAGAAAGAGGGAAGAGAAAGAGGACAGAGCCCTCAGATAGCAGTTACCCATTAGGTGGGGTGGGGACAATATAAAAGGGCCTGGAATCTGACATGACCACCCTGAAATACAGAAGGAAAGTGGTACTGTCTCTAGTCTTTGGAAGGAATAATACAGCTTTGTGTTATTACTGTTTAATGCCTCTTACATAAATTATATATTTGTACCTCTAAATTATAATAAAACCTTTTTTCAAAAAGATTTTGGATAGGTAATTGAATTCTCACTAGAAAAAAAAGGAAGAAGGAAAGGAAGAGAGAGAAAGAAAAGAAGAGCAAGAAAGAGATAAGGGATGAAAGAGGTGAGTGACGAGACAGGAAGAGGGAAGAGAGGAACTCCTGAGAGCTTGTGAGGGAGAGCCAAGGCGCTTCCGGAACTTCAGCGAAGAGATTAATGGGAGCCTGAGTCAGCTGAGAGAACCATCCCAAGGAAGCAAGTCCTGAGGTGGCCTCAAAGAACTGATTAGCCCCAGCAAGTCAAGAGCAGGAGAAGATGAGCAAGGAAAATGGGCAAAATCCCAGGACACCCAGCTGTCTGGGTAGGCACGGCTGCAGTGCCAGGGAGAAGGCCTGTATCTGTGGTGGAGCAGAGAGGCCTTGAAAAGGAGCCCTGAAGGACAGGAAGCACCAGTGAGGCAGCTGACAGGAAGCCCCTAGTCCCCTCTGAAGCACAGAAAGGAAGACTCAGCCCTGACATGAGAATTGGAGGGTGGGGGTAGGGGGGCGCTGTGCCCTTTATCCATCTTGGGGCATCCTGGTTCTAACCTCCAGCTCTATCAGAGATGCCTCCCCCAGGAGAATGGGACCACAACCTGCTCTTTATCTCCTAGCGCTTAATTAGGTGGACTCTGGGGTTCCCTGAGAAAGGGGGGACCAGGTCCCCACTGCCATCCCCTTGCTAAGATTCTGCGTCTGGGCTGGGATTTCCCTGAAGCTCCCCTCCCAGAGGAACAAGGTGAGAAACCCTGAAAACCATATGCCCTGAGGCCCCATTAGAGTGTGTGGTGGGTTGGGAACATGACTGGGCCCCATGAGGGAGCTATGGAAGATCCCACAGCAGAGGGCCTGGGAGCTGGGCCACTCATATAGCGCCCTCTCCGGACAGGCACCTCTAGACAGCGGGAGGAACTAAGGGAGCATCCCAGTTCTGTCTCCCTCACTCACACACTCCCTTCCTCTCTTCCCCCTCACTCCCTTCCTCCCTTCCTTCCTTCCTCCCTCCCTACCTCCCTCACTTCCTCCCTCACTCCCTATCTTCTCCCTCCCTCCCTCCCTCCCTCCCACCCTCCCTTTCTTCCTCCATCCTTCTTCCATCTTTTCTTCTGCACTGCTCCCCACCTTCCTTCTCTGTATCTAAATAATTCTGCCAGAGCATTTCTGCTCCACCAGGAATGAGCTTGTGTGAGAGGCTGGAGTAAAGCACAGGGTAGTGAGAGATACAAACTGGGTCCCTGGAACAGGTCAGAAAGGAGGGAGAGAGGGGCCATCTTAAGGTGAACATTTCATGTGCCCCTTTACTCATGGTGCAGAATTAGACTTGGTGATCAGTCAAGCTGATAGATGGTTTCACCACCCTCTAAGGTGACACACATACACATGGCCCGTATTCTATGCTGCATGTGAAAGTATGAGGAAGAGGGGGGAGGGCTGCCTCCTTCCCTCACCCACCCCAGGTCTCTGATATGGCCTTCTGATGGGGAAGGGGGGTACCACGCAGAAGGCCGGGTGACCTGAGAGGGAGCGGACACCAGGCCTTCTTAGCACTGAAAGCAGCTGCATCAGAGATAGGGGTCCTGCCCAGACTGAGGAGCCTCTCCCTGGGAGCACTGAGAGTCACCCAGGGAGGAGGAGGGGAGGGGGGGAAAGGTATGCACATAGACTCTTCAGCAGAAGTTATGTTGTGTCTGATTCAATGATACCCCCTGCCTGACACAGCTTGGAAAATACAGGGTTTCA